TATCAATAATGAAAATAAGAATAGATTGCAGTCCTTATCTGGAAGCTGTTCTAATCAGAACAGGTCTGAGCCCCACCTTCTCCTTGTGGTTAATCTGGGCCTTCCAGAAGGTGTATGTAACTCGGGAATGGCCCGTGTCCTGTTCTCCTCGACCCCTCCTAAAGGTTTCTGTTGTCCAGGGGGAACAACACAGTCATTTATTCCTTTGCCAGAGACAGGCCTGGGTACATGAATGAACCAGAGAGTCTGTGACACACTATCTGCCCAGTCAGAAAATAGGTCGGGATACATGAATGGCCACATGAAGAACAAGGGATTTTAGTCTCCAATGGTGAAAGAGTAGAAAATGCAGAGTTCATTGTTGGGCAATGGAACTGACTTGGATGTGCACTATTTCACTCGCTACTTTTCACACAGTTTGTTCCTCTTTCGCAGCTGTGTTTCTCTCTCTCTCTTTCTAGCTTTCTGGCTCCCTCACAAAATTCCAGCCAGTGATGGACTGTGTGTAGTGTGTGAAAGGACCGGTCGTTTATAAAGCCATTATTGTCAATTAAGAAAATGAAGTGTTCCCCTGGGCCTCACCATCTGGAGCCCTCCCTTCCTCCCCACCTCCCTCACTCTCTTTCTTGCTCCATCTCTCTTTCTTTGTTTAACTCCGTCACACTCCTCTGACTCCCTCTCTCCACTCCATTACTTTGCTTTGCGCTTCGGTCACTTAAGTTTATACTCTGTCACATGGTTTCAACCTATCTTTTGTAATTGTGCATATAATCCCTGTTTACCTTTGTTCATATCTGACTTTAAGTGTGAAATTGTGAATTTGTGCTCCTTCAGGGAGTCAGACTTGTTTCTGTTGGACTCACGGGTGATCTGGGCAGCCGAGGAGGGCTGGTTGGTGTTTGACGTGACAGCCACTAGTAACCACTGGGTCCTGAACCCTGGCAGGAACCTGGGTCTACAGCTGGCCCTGGAGAGCACAAATGGTGAGTGTCTCTTAGATCAGTATGTTCCCTTGCACATAGGGAGTCACAAGGGGCCATATTAGTGGTAGACAGCTGAAGATGAATAGTCTGAGAGTGTAAACAAGAATTATAAGCTTCACATAGATATTATTCCAGTTTCCACTAAGAAAACCTTAAAATGTACTTAGAATAAAGATTCTTAAGTGGATTGAGTTCATTTACATTTTAATAGCTAAATAAAGGGGAAAAAGTCATGCTAGATTTGTGTGGCTGGTAGCATTTATACTTAAAATAACTGTAATGTAGAGTTGATACGTTCATACTTTGTGTGTGTACACAGCAAAGATAAATCAAACCATTGCCCCTCGTCATTCATCATCATTCACCCCTGTCTTCATCCGTCATACCCTCAGCATCATTAGAAGGCATGCAGAAAATACACTGCGTTATCACAAAATACACTGCCTTATCATAAAATACACTGTGTCATCATAAGGATAACATCTCAGCAGGAGTTTGTCATCACAAGGCCTGGATGTTAGTCAGTGGAACACTTTATCAACAAAGAGCGTGTTTGAGAATATTATCTCTTACAGGATGGCAGGATGTTACATGTTAGGTGAAAACAGACACTGTATTGCTTTCATGTTATGGGAGGGGAGTGCTGGAGAGGCTGTATCCATGGGTGTGTGTTTGTGTGTTGGATCGGGTATGAAGGGTTATGGGTGAGCATGTACAGACAGGCACACGGGACGTCCCGTCGCCAGCGGCGACCAGAAGCCTTGATTTACCACTAGACGGTGATCAGACACACATTCTTCTGTGTGAGAACTAGATAGACACTGCTGGAGTGCGCATGCACACGCATGCACAAACACACACCCACACATTACATGCACACAAACACAAGTAGAGAGGCTTTGATGTTCAGTGCTACGTTTGTTCTTGGCATTTCGGAGGTTGAGAAGGGATGAGAAAAAGGGAAAGGAATTCAATGAGGAAAATCTCATTTGTTAAACTGAATGCAGTATTATTGACACAACAAATGCGGTTTTGGTGAGTAAAGAGAGGACCGCACAAATGCAAAATATACTCCACACAGGCACACCAAGTGGGCACACATTTATTTGACTTCAAAAACATTCCCTGTCTTCTTATACATCACCCTGTATGAATGAAATCTACATTTCTGTGACACCAACACCTGTTGTACTGTTCTCTCTGTCTCCCCCTACAGGAGAGAGTATCAATCCTCGTGTGGCAGGGCTGATTGGTCGCAGTGGGCCTCAGAATAAACAGCCCTTCATGGTGGCCTTCTTCAAAGCCACAGAGGTGCACCTGCGAAGCATCCGCTCAGCGCCAGGGGGGGCCAAACAGCGTAACCCCAACCGTTCCAAAGGGGCAAAGAGCCAAGAGGCGCTCAGAGTGGCCAATGTTGCAGGTAAACATGCAAAGTGTGTGTGTTATATATACAGTCAGTGCTGATTTATACTGTTGTGTTGTGAGGAATGTAAAGCTGGTGGTCTGGTCCTACCATATTAGCATTCTCTTTGTTTTTATGGTAGTGCCAACACATACCGTATGTACTCACTGACAAGCAAACGAACACAAGCATCCACAAATATACAATATATCTGGAACCGGAATAGCGTGCCGTTGGAACTGATATGATTCTTGCACGACAAAACATGCGATGCATACTCAGGGCCTTTGTTTTAGAGGTGTGAGAGGGCTGTGTTTATGTGAAGTGCTGAAACATTAGACTGTAATGCCTGAGCTTCAAATATCCCTCTGCTGTCTTTGTTTATTTACACAAGCATTACAGAGCAGTTGGGGCCAAGTTCCCTGCATGGAGGTAAGGCAGTGCAGGCTTTTATGGTAGAACACATCTGCGGTGTGCTGTGGGGCAACCGGGGCCACAACACATGGGCCAAATGTGCCTGTTTGGAACTTTGGATAGCAGTGGTCTTTAACTGGATGATGAGAACCAGTCGCTCATGATCATTTCCAATGTGAACTGCTCTCAGGAACTAATGTACCACAGAGCCCCAGAGGTCATCAAAAGAAGAGAGAGATACCATTAGATAGAAAACAGACAATTCTTTTTAACACACAAATGGGGTAAAGGGAAAAAGTGATGTTGAAACAAGTTAAGAGGAAAGAGAAAGAATAAATAAAGACCTGAGTTATGAAAAAAGGGGCGAGTCTACTCTGTGTGCACATCTGTTTCATCCAGTGGAAACTCAAAGCCCAGCAGAGTGACCTCTAAGCAGGGTGGCCCATTCATTTGAAACAATTACCAAACTGCTGCTGTATCTGGAGGTGATTTCCTTCAGCCATTGTTTAAATGTTAATGTTTTGTATGAGGATACTGGCTGTGTTTAGGTCTGTTCTTTATCATCTCGGCCTGATTGGGGTCTGACTACAGTAAATAGTTACTCTTGTAGCTGAATGGGATAATAGCACATGTATTGTAGTGTAATCTCTCTCTGTCTTTTTCTGTGTGTCTGTCTTCTTCCTCAGAAAACAGCAGTACTGACCAGAAGCAGGCGTGTAAGAAGCATGAACTCTACGTCAGTTTCAGAGACTTGGGGTGGCAGGTACGGAAAGCATTCCTCTCCCAGGTAGCCAAAATTGCTTGGCCCAACAGAAGCCTAAATAAGACACTCCTGTTTGCTGGTTTTATCCCAGAATCTTGATAAATGACACACTAGAATCAGCCAACATTATACTTGAGCCCAAGGGTGTAATTTAAACAGGGGACAAGTCCACCACACTTTTATAGTTTCAGCTTGATGAACTTACTAAAGTCTCTGTGACGAACTGTGTCCTCTTTCTGTCCAGCTGTTGATAATCTATTAAATATTTCAGTATATATATATACTATATATACTGTATATATATATATAATATAGTTAAAATGCCACTGGTTCCAGCTTCAAAATGTGAATATTGTCTGTTTTTTCTTTGTCTTCTACAACAGTGAATTGAACATGGTTGGGTTCTGGATTCTCTGTATGGCAAAACAAGCAATTTAAATAGTCAAATTTAGGCTGAAATTGTTTTATTTTTCACTCTTTGCTAAACACGAAAAGCGAGTGTCCCACAAACACTGACCACCTACTTGTAATAAACTTCATGACAGTTCTTCATGAACCCTGCATAATTAAACAAGGAATAAATCTGGAGTTAAATGTGTTAATACTAGTCCTACTGGTAAATTATATGAACGTTGGTGAGCAAGTGCTGTCCTGTATTGTCAAGAAAAACTTCCT